CCTCAAACTCTATTTGGTGGTTCTGACTGCTGGTTTTATCTTGGATTATCCAAGAGCTCTCTTTCTAGTTTTCTTATCCTTGGATTTCCTACTTTTGTCTCATTTTTAAAAATCAGACAAATTTGAAAGGAGATGACAGTGAGAACAAGAGAGCGAGAGACAGACACATCTTCTGTTCACTGGTTCACTCTGTGAAATGGCTGTAATGGTCAAGGCTGTGCCATGCCTATGCCAGGAGCCAGGAACTATATCCAGGTCTCCTACATGAGTTTCAAGAGCCCAAGTGCATGGGCCAACTTCTGCTGCTTGCCCAGGTACATTAGCACAGAGCTGAATGGGAACCAGAGGATCTGAGACCCCAACTGATATTTTGATACGGGATGTCTATGTCTCCAGAGGCAGCCTAACCTGATGCACCACATGCCATCCCCTCTGTTCACTTTTTAGTTTCTAATTCAATACTTCATAGAAGCCCACAAATATCTCAGGAGGAAAGTTATACAAATGTCAGACTTGCTTATATCCTCTTTTTCCAGGATCTTAGCTCCTCAAGGCCTGGCAGCTTTGAGACTCTAAATTGCAATCTTTACCTCCCTCCTTACTCCCCTAGTTCTGTGACACAAGGAAAAGCAATAGCGAGGGGAAAATATAACAAATACCATAACACATTTTTTTTAAACACATTCTCTTCTAAGATCACAGCCTCTCAAGGCCATCTTAGTTGCCCCCCCCCCCTTTTTTTGACAGGCAGAGTGGACAGAGAGAGAGAGAGAAAGGTCTTCCTTTGCCCTTGGTACACCCTCCAATGGCCACTGTTGCCGGCGCACCACGCTGATCCGATGGCAGGAGCCAGGTACTTATCCTGGTCTCCCATGGGGTGCAGGGCCCAAGTACTTGGGCCATCCTCCACTGTACTCCCTGGCCACAGCAGAGAGCTGGCCTGGAAGAGGGCCAACCGGGACAGAATCTGGCGCCCCGACTGGGACTAGAACCCGGTGTGCCGGCGCCGGAAGGCAGAGGATTAGCCTGGTGAGCCACGGCGCCGGCCGTTAGTTGCTTTCTACTACTTTCCAAAAGTTGTTTATTGTGATTTACTTATCTAGTCTTATATGCATGCTGGTTGAAAATCTGATTCAAGGTACTCCATTAGAAAAGATTAATGTGGTGCTCTTTTGTCTGCCAGTCTACAGTGCTGGTAAAGCATTTGTAGGTTAGTGTGCACAGCCACAGGTTTATCTGTCTATTGACCTCTCACTGTGGCTTGCACAGGTGCGGAATGCCACACCCACAGCACGATGAACTTCTGCAGAGCAAGGGCATCTACTGCTCTGCCTACCCCGCAATTTTGCCTCTTTTCCTATATCATCAGCTCAGCAAAGGACTTCATGGCTTGTACTAGAAGAGAACTTTAAAAATTTCATGGCAAGTGGAATTAAAAGTTATTTTGGTGTAATAATTTTTTGAAACCCACACAATTTTTTTCATAACATGCATTTCGCATGAACTTTTTGAAGCCTTCTAATATAAATGAAAATTTCTTCTTATTCATGGGTCAGTTCCAAACCACAGGTTTTCCTGCGAGTTTCTATTAGCTTCTTACATTCAGGTGTTAGGCCTCAGAAAATGGGCTATGAGTTCACTAGTGATATATTTTGGTGCTAATATATATATGTGTGTGTGTATATATATCAGTTGCTATTGATAGCAACTGATTTGTTGTTACTGATTAACCCACACTTAAATTTCAAATGCTGAGCAGGTATGGGTGGCGGCCACAGTTCTCCACTTGATTGTACTAAATTCAACATTGTTTGCAACCAATGGGAAAATAATGTTATTAAAAGCATGTTAAATATTGTCTAGTTTTCAGGGTGATCATTTGGCCCTACTGTAAAGAGACCAGCTGGGACTCTGACATCTCATACTGCAGTGCCTGGGTTCAAGTCCCAGCTCCACTCCTGACTCCAGCTTCTTGCTAATGTGCACCCTGTGAGGCAGTAGGTGATGGCTCAAGTAGCAGGGTTCCTGCCAACCATGGGACAAACCTGGACTGAGCTCCTGGCTCTGGCAGGGGGCTGTGGTGGACATTTGGGGAGTGAACCAACAGAGGGAAACTCTTTCTGAATACCTCTCAAGAATGTGTCCAGTTTTCTTGGTACTCGATAGACTTGTGAATAGGAACTGTTTGTTTTTTTCTGGAGATGGCTTCATATTTTGATAGTCTAAGATAAATTATATTATCATACTTCTGCAGATGGGTACAAAATATGTATAAAATTCCATTGTTACACCTATAGTTCAGAGCAACTGAGCCCTTTCTCTTAGGTATCTTGCCCATTACTTGTCTGTAATGATTTCTCTAATAATTACTCAGACGGCTTTATGCTGTTATTCTTACTTCCATGCAAGCCATTTGTTCCTACTTATAACTGACAATAAACATGACTGAGTTCAACTTGCCCAGAGAGAAGACAAACACACCTTAAAGTGCCTCCTAAGTTATTTTAGAATTTTACTAGGAGGAAACTTAACACTAAAGAGAATAGGCCTACTAAAATTTCTAATAAAACTGAAAAATCACTGAACAGCAAAAAAAGAGTGATTGATTATATGAAAGATAAGTAGTAAGATATTTTTGGATGAAGGAAAATAAATCACTAATACAAAATTTTCTTTCGAGAAAATACCTATTTTTCATTTTATAAATCATATAGTTCTCAATAAAATCTGTTTCCAAGCCAAATTTATGCCCTAACTTTAAAGTTTTGTAAGTATCTTCTTGACCTACACAATAAAATGGCTAGAATCAGCGGTGACTGTTTCCTGGCAACAAATTAAATGTTAGTACCTTCTTGATGTTCTGTTCAATTCAGAAACCTGTTTATTAAGGGCAGGGTTAATTAACACTTCAGATCCTAAGAGACCTCTAGTCAAAGTTATTCCTGTACATGTCTTCAGGTCAATTTTAGGAAATGCTTATTTATGATCTCACAGCTATTTATCTTATGGAATTGTTAGTGTGCAATCAGTGATTCATGGCAGTTTTTTTCCCTCAGGATTACACTATAATCATTATTTTCCAAATAGTAATATAATATTTGGTGTAGGGCAATATGGGTCATTCCTCTCCTTTGGTCAATGTATATGTAAAGGATTTCATGGCGTATGATTAGGCATAATAAATTCTACTTGCAACAAAAAATACTTGAAAAAGCCGAGTAAAAATTGGTATCCCATGGTAAAATATATTTGTGTACTAAAACATCCTTTGTTACGTCAAAAACAGTTTCTTCTGGGGCCCATCTTTGATCCATTAGTTTTCAAATTTCAATTCAGCTGAACAACAGTGCACTGCAAACAACCTGCAATTTCCTGAGACAACAAAATCAAGTGAAATCAAGCAACTCGATTTTGATAATGCAAAAGCACTTTCTTGCTCCTAATGAGTCAAATGAAGTGTTACAAGATATCCACTGTGTGTCAATCAGCTCTCCAGTGAACTATATAGAAAATATTTTTAACCATTTTCACATGCATTCAAATCCATTGGACTATAACTAATGTACTATCCAAAAATTGCCAAAGAAAGTATGATACTGTTGATAGCAAATGAAAATTATAAAAGCCTCAGATAAGTGATCTGAAAGGATAAAACAGTGCTAAAGTTCAATACTGGAGAAGAGGAAGTAACATGTTACATATTCTATTTTCATATAAAGTAAGCCCTAAAGGAAATGAAAACATAAACTCAGGTTTAACTGAATAAACAATGTGATATAAAAACACTCACTGGGTTTGGTTAAATGCACATATCAATTTTTGCATGACAGGAAATGGAAACATAATTGATAAGCAGTTTAATAAGCCCTTTTACTCCTTTAAACAGCATCAGTTGATAAATGATTTAACAAATGGCCTGCAGATCTTATGTCTTATCTCCAACAATTTTTTCCTTTAAACAACAGAATTACAATGGACTCTAACAAGTATAGTAACTAACACTCTTCTTTAAAACCATTGATTCCTCTGTATATTGAGGTTTTTCTCAGTATTTAGCTAATTATTAAATATTGTACCTTTCTAATAAACCTACATTGTAGTCTCTTGTTACTTTTTTTTTTTTTTTTTTTTTTTTTGACAGGCAGAGTGGACAGTGAGAGAGAGAGAGACAGAGAGAAAGGTCTTCCTTTGCCGTTGGTTCACCCTCCGATGGCCGCCGCGGCCGGTGCGCTGCGGCCGGCGCACCGCGCTGATCCGATGGCAGGAGCCAGGAGCCAGGTGCTTTTCCTGGTCTCCCATGTGGGTGCAGGGCCCAAGCACCTGGGCCATCCTCCACTGCACTCTGTGGCCACAGCAGAGAGCTGGCCTGGAAGAGGGGCAACGGGACAGAATCCGGCGCCCCGACTGGGACTAGGCGCCGCTAGGCGGAGGATTAGCCTAGTGAGCCGCGGCGCCGGCCTTGTAGTCTCTTGTTACTTAGTAGCTGCAGAAATTAACAATGTTCCCAAAATCACTATGAATAAAAATTACTAATGGACTAGTCTAATTTATGGAGGAAACATCCTCATATACAATGCCTATAAAATTTCTATAATTATATTTCAAAAATAAAAGTTCTATGGAAATAAAAATGATATAAACTAAGGATGAAGTGCTGTAAGAAGTGGTATATCATGATTCTCTGAATCATAATGAGTATGTTCCATTAAAAGTATGCCAAAAATATCTACATGGAGACATTTTTAGTACAAGCAGATGGTATAATTAATCAGTTCAGGGGAATAAGTCTCAAAAAAAAATCAAGAATATGCCCTAATATGTCACCCTTTTATGTGACAGTACTGTTTTGTGTGTGTGGTTTTTTAATTAGAAAAAATGATGACACTTCTAGCCAAACACTGGTGTTATTTAAGGACCATTGTAACACATAACATCTTAAGTTCACAAAGTGAAAACTAAAAATCCCAGAGAAAAGGCATTTGATATGAAAGACACATTACCTTTTATTTCATGTTGGCTTGCTTCTCGTCTTCTCTCTAGTTCTTTTCTGTCATAATTCAACCTTTTTAAGCACATAATTCCATACTGTAAACTTGTTCTATTATTTTTTAAGAAAAGAAAAATACATTAAATTTGCTCAGCAAGTGAAAAATATTCTAATTAAATATAGTCAACACTATGCACTACTTAGGGAAACAGGTTAATAAGTCACATTTTCAATTTACATCTTCAGTCTTGTCATTGGAACATAAAATTTTTATTTTGGAGATAGTAAGGAGTTTATTAGAAATGAAAATTCTTTTCTTAAGCTGGTGAGAAAAGTAATAGGAAGAATAAAGAGTAAGATCAAGAACCCACAAGTAGAGTGTATAAAAGGAACACCTTAGTAGATACTGAAGTTTTATGTGGAAAGGACATCCTGCAACAGCATAAATTGGCAGATTCTTTAAAGGCTCATGTATTAGGCAAAGGGTTGTTAGAAAAATGGGGCATCGTGAACATAGGATTATGATGGGATTTTTAAAGGTGTGAAAATAGACACATAGCTGGGAGTTAGACTCCATTCTAAGAAATTAGGAGGTGCCCAATTACCCATGGAGAGCACAGTACAGTATGGAAAGCCTCGTGCTTCCTGTGAACAGGCAATACCTCCATGTGATAGAGGTCACTTTCAGACCAGGAAGAAATGACAGAAATTGTGTTTAGGGAAGAAAAATCTGGTAGCAAAATAGGAAATGCAGAAACTTGGTAACAGGTAGAATGGAAAGCAATTAAGCTGTCCAGAGTGCCCAAAGAACAGCCATGAGTAAGCAAAGAAAATTTAGACGAGAGATCTTCTGAGAGGATATGAGAAGGCTTGGAGATCATGACACCAAGCCTGTGGAAGAGTGCAATAGGAAGAGAGAATCTGCAGGTTTAAGAGTAAAGACTGTTTGGCCAGTGATTTCTTCAATGTTTAGTATTATGCAAATGTAGACATACACACCAGCGAGGCTCCTCTCCTATTGCATGTGTTTTTAAAGTTTGCATTTTTGTAGAACAATATTGAATCAAATGTTTCAGATCAGAGAAAAGTGAAAAGAAATCTGCATTAAGAAAATATCTGAATAGCATCCCCTGCCCTCTCCCCAAATTCACACATTGAAGTTCTATTCTCAGTATTCAGAATAGGAATGTATTTAGGGACAGGGACTTTAAAGAATTAAATTGCATGAAGCCATTGTGGTGGTCCCTAACTCAGACTGATGTCCTTTCAGGAAGAGGAGATTTGGACAGAGCCACCAGAAAAGTACACTCATGGAGGAAAGACCAGGTGAGGAGAAGATGCTCATCAGCAAGCCATGCAGAGAGGCCTCAGAAGAAACCAGACCCACTGACACCCTGATTCCAAACATTTAGCCTGCCCAACAGAGTACATGAGAATATTGTGCTACAACACAACATTTATGAAATGGTATAACAAGCCCCCCCTTTTTTTAACCTGTTAGGTAGTAAACATTTTTGAAAAAGAGAGATTCTGTTTTACTCATCTTCACAGTTGCCTAATAATCTACTCAGTTTTTTTCCTTGAGAATATACACATTAGCAAAATCCCAAAATACTTAATATCAATTTAAAAAGTCCAAATATGTCCTTCTGCAAAGAATTCCTGGAGCTGGTGTTGTGGCAGAGTGGGTAAAGCCGCTGCCTGTGATGCCTGCATCTCATACAGGCACCAGTTCAAGTCCTGGCTGCTCCACTTCTAACAGCTCCTTGCTAATACATCTGGGAAAACAGTGGAGGATGGCCCAACTGATTGGGCACTTGTACTCAAGTAGGATACCCAGATGAAGCTCCTGGCTTTGGCCTGTCTCAGCTCTGGCCTTGGTAGGCATTTTGGGAGCAAACTAGCAGACCGTAGATCTGTCTTTTCCTCACTCTGATTTTCAAAATAAATCATTAAAAAAATTTCCTTCTAAAAGTTTTTCTAGTATATTCCTAAATTGTACAAATTATCATCATATACATTTATAGAGTCAAGACTGTCAATATTAGTTTATTCTTTATAAATAATTTTTTATTGTAAACACACCCTTCTATAAAAAATCCACAAACATGGATTTTCCTATGTGGCAAAAGATAGAATTTCGCTGTATGAGAAGAATTTTGTGCATGATTTGCATAAATTTTGGACATGTAAAGAACATGCATTCTACATTAGACAGTCCCTGCAACTGGCTGCCTGGAATTAGTTTTCCAAGTACATGTGCAGAGTGGTTTTGAATAGCACTTATTTTCTATCCAGTATCTATTTTTGTTTAACTACAATATACCCCATTATTTCACATTAATCTTTTGCAAAAACGTACCGATGGAAGCTATCCACCATTTTTAAATGGACACGAAGATCTTTTTTTGTTAGGTGATCTAGCATTCTTGCATCTACCAAGCATTCCATAAAGTAACTTCTGTACTGGGGTAATCCCAGGCTGGGAAGCCATTCATTTCCAATCCATTCGTGGTTCATATCTCCATAAGCCAGGGTCTGTAGAAAAACCGGACACTAGAATTGTTTTATAGCAGTCAAGTTTCTTAACCAATAAAATGAGATGGTAATTGGAAGATATTACCTATTATTTTTACCTTATTATTTCACTTTGATGGGCAGAAACAGAACAAATATTTAGCTTGTAGTATGTGAAATATTGTATCAAATATTGTAATATTTTATTTACTTTCGTAAAGAATAGAAGTCTGCATGCATTTATCAAAATATTTGCCTGTAGATAATGACTTTTCACTTTGTATTCTCTAGCTCAGTGATATTTTGTTCAAATGTATATTTTGTTTATCAAGAAATCAGAATTAAAGATATACTTCAAATTCTGAGCATTCATTCTTTGTATTGATAGGTTTATTTATATTTGTAAATACTCTACATTTTCCTCTTACCAATGGTAACATTTGCCATTGCTATAATGTAATGGCGAACCTTGTTGTGTAGTAGAAAGCTCAGTAAGAAAATAGGAAAAGGAACAATGAGATTTGAGAAACAGAATGCTGAAGCTCTGTGTGGACACTGTTACCCAGTGAACTGAGCCAGCATTCCAGAAACATCACTGGAAAGAATCGAGCTTTTTCCAAAATATCAAACAAAGAACACTATTAAAGAAGCAGGGCATTATTTAAAAACTAAGACAAATAATTGAATTCTTTTAATTCAACAGTATGAACTGATTTCTATCAAATACTGTTCATAGCATGTAAAATGAAGCCCAAATCAACTATGACTTTTAAATAATTTTTTTTTCAAAAGTTCATTACCTCTCTATTACTTTTATGAGGTTCCTGGTGTAGTTTCTTATCCTACTATAAATTCACAATTCTAAATATATATATATATGTAATGAAAACCTAGATGTACTCCTGTAGTATTTTCTTAAGAATGATGGAATTCTTACCAAAATCAAAATTTAATGCAACTCTCATTTTTATCAAGTTCTCAAATACAGGTCTAATATAACAACTTTTTTTTTCTTACAGTCAAAAAATTGGAATTACAGTGAATATAATGCAGTTTATTCCTTCAGTTTTCCGACATGTAGAAGTGCTGGGAAACAAAGGCATAGCTTCTTTGAAAAGATGTTTGTCCAAAGCATAGCTACTTGTCTACATCATCATCTGAATAAAGGCAATCAACTTCAGTCTGCTATGCTGAAGCATGGCTCTCCAATCCCAATTCTCATCCTTTCTATTACACTTTAAAGCATATGTAACTCTGAATCGGTCTTTTCAAAAAATTCTTCTTTTAGATCAAAGTTGATTCAGTCCTGATTAAATATATCTGGAGGTGATTTCACAGAAAAGTATGCTATGGATCATTGTTGTGTGGAAGAAACAAAGCTATCCTTTCAAAAGAGGCCAAGTGTGAAATGATTTTATTTGTAAATATGGTGATTTTTAAAGACATCCTATTTTGCAAATATGGTGTTTTTTAAAAGATATGTATAAAATGAAACATAATATAGATTTAAGAATACATAGCAATGTAATATTGAGCTAAGTGCAGATTGAAAAACGTTACTAAGATTGTCTTAAAGCATATGAATTTCCTACCTGGGCCCAGCTTCCTTCCTCAGATTCTTTCTGTGTTAGCAGCAGGAAATGATTAACAAAGTAGGTAAGTATAGATTCATTTCAAATGAATACAGTGAAATTTTTCTAGCAGAATCTAAATTATTGTGACACAGGCAGATGGACACACAATTCTTACATCCACAGTCAGTTTCACAGTGAAAGCTCAACTACAGGGACATTACACAGTTTTAATTAGTTTTCATTTGAATATACATATGACATGGAATTTCCATGATTTTGTGAACATGTTATCTGGCCATTCAAAAATCTTTTCTAACTCTTCCAAGTGTGTCATTTTCCAAATGTGATACCATAAAAGTTTATGAATGTTACTGCATATATAAGAATGTATGTTCTAGAGAAATCTTCCATACAGTGAATTACTGAAGTGAAAAAGATAATTGTATTTCATAAACAAAGCTATGTATAATAAAACAGACTTCAAAAATAGCTGACAAAGCGCAAAACAGACAAAACAACTACACAAAAAAGCTGAAAAAAATATATAACTGAAAATTTTATCATAAACATTTTTTTCAAATTGAGGTAAAACCAAAATTATTACATTTCTAAAAGTTGCTAAAGGTAAAATATGATGTGCACAACTTTGTTACTTGGCACGAAAAAGCACCATACATAACATTTTATTTTTAACAGATGACAATTACAGGCTCTTCAAGAATTTATTTTAAACTGAACTTTAGAACTTAGAATACCAAATTAGCATAACACATTTTTTTTGGTCAAGCTCTATATAGATGATGGTAATAAAAGAAGTAAGAAACCGTATGATTATATTAAAAATGAATATTCAGTCTAAGATTTTCCCTACAAGTTTAATTCAGTTTAGTAATTACCTGTAAAGAGGTCCAATAATGTGATATTTGTAGCCAACATTTTCCAATGTTGTAAATCAGATTGATAAATATTAAATTCTTGATTTTTGTTGGCATATTCCAAACTTGTGATGTTAAACACATTACAACCATCTAGTGCCAGTTCATTTCAAAGCATGAATCAAGTATTATAAAATACAACTGCAACAAAAACATTATCTTTGCATATAACTATGTATGAACGCATCCCATTACACTGGTCTACAGCAAACAAATTAGCCTTTTTATCTTTATCCAAGATGTGGCAAAATCACTTTTCTCGGTTTCAACAAAGCTGTAAAGACTAACCGTTTTTGCTGGAGCAGCAAGATTTTCCATTTCTTCATGGGTCACCCAAACGTTGCCTGACGGCTAAGCGAGAAGCCCAGGGGCCAGCAGTGGAATCCATGGGAGGTAAGCGGTGGTAAAGAAGAAAGCAACATCTCTGTAAGTTTACAGCGTCACAGCAACACCACAGCGCTCCTGCCTCTACTGCATGCATGAAAAAGACAGCGTGGCTGGTTTGCTAAGAATTCCCTTTTCCTTCCACTCACAAAGAGTAAATTAAAGCAGTGCACTGAGGACGTCATGGGGGAGACAGATTTAAAATGATACTTCTGTGATTATGAATCAAGAAAAGGTCATGGTCAGATTTGCATTTCAAAGGTATGTGGCCATCAGATCCATTTTTTAAGAATGGAGAACTGATTACATTTGTTTTGTGGAAGAATGTGACTTCATTTTTTCTTCAGTAACAGTAGCACATACTCTCTGCTGCATTATTACAAAAATTCCATTCACACAATTGTGACTCTTCACCATCTTTGGAAAGGGCAAACTGGTTGCAAACAGAAAGCGGGAAGCACCATTATGATCTGTCTGGAAACCAGCATCAGCATTTCCACAATGATTACTTCCTTTTGCGATTCCTGAAAAATGTTTCCTTGTATTCTTATACATAAAAAAGCAGTCAACTGATATTTTTTATTTAATAAAAGGTACTTTTAGGTTCACGAAATGCTGTCAAATGATAAAACCGATGTATTTCCTGGCTCTCCAACAAATGCCTATATCATACAAAATACATTATAAAAGAAAATTTCCGGCCGGCGCCACAGCTCACTAGGCTAATCCTCTACCTAGCAGCACCAGCACACCGGGTTCTAGTCCCGGTTGCCCCTCTTCCAGGCCAGCTCTCTGCTGTGGCCAGAGAGTGCAGTGGAGAATGGCCCAAGTGCTTGGGCCCTGCACCCACATGGGAGACCAAAAGAGGCACCTGGCTCCTGCCTTTGGATCAGCGTGGTGCGCCGGCCACAGCATGCCAGCCATGGCAGCCATTGGAGGGTGAACCAACGGCAAAAGGAAGACTTTTCTCTCTGTCTCTCTCTGTCCACTCTGCCTGTCAAAAAAAAAAAAAAAAAAAATTCCTAACAGCCACTATTCTATTAATTTTTTCTTTTAATAATTTACTTTTAAAATAAAATTATCTTAGATATGATTCTACACAGCAAAAAATATGTGATTTCTTAAAACAATGCCTACTTAGTAGCATGCAGTCAGGCATATCATTGAAGGTACTGAACACTGGAGACCATTCGTACCAAATTCCATTTCACTAGCAAGTCTTCACAAACACTGTAAGATTATCTAAGCCTACCAGTGGAATTTACAACCTACTATTATTTTGTTACTTGTTTTTTGGAAGGGAACAAAGTTTAAAGAATTGGAAGTGACAAACTGAATTTTCAAACATTATAAGCACCATACTTCACTCTGGACTTTAGTAACATACATACCATCATACTGGGCTCTATGTACTATAAATTAAATAATTCAGTATAATCTAAGTAGCAACATATAAACTAATTGGATGAGTGTAATTTAATATAATTGGATTCTCATACACAAATATATATGAGTAACAAAAATAATTAAGTAGTAAATATCCATTATTATAAGTAAATAATATAGGCATAAAATTTCTAGAAATTAAGGCTCAAATATACTTGGAAGCATAGAATTTTCCTCCTACTGTTTTGGAATTTAGAGTATGGCTCAATTTTTTCCTCTAAAATAATCTGTGCTCACCTACAAGACATATTAAGAATACGAGAGTTATTTATGCCATTGGAAGCCCCTCCCATGTACATCCAGCTTATGGGAAGAGAGCTCATAATTAAGAGAAGTCGCATATGCAAATATCAAACACTGGAAGAAATTTTGATTGACATGATGAAGAGTATGCCATACTAAAAATAACTTTATACTCATCTGCCAGCCAGACTCCCTTTATACCCAGTGATCACAGTGCTTTGCCTCACCGGCTGCACTTGTTATCAGTGATTCTCACTGATGATTATTTGAGAAGACATTAACGTAAGCCAGTATTGTTTTACACTGATTTCTGTAGTATCTAATTTACCTCTGACTCTAAATAACAAGGGTTGCATTCTTTCTATAAGAAACTTGACCAGTATTATTTCATCGTGGGGTAGATTCATGCATAATTTCTTTTACAGATTTTTAAAAATTCTATAACCCTATCCCGGAATGGGGAAGGTTCTCAGAACTATGGTTTAGCTTGTATCTATCTTCTCTTGTACACTGAGGATACATCTAGGGCAATTTGCTAAAATATGCCTGACAGAAGTTACAAGTTGGATGCTAGTCCTTTACCTTCACTGTGCAGGTTTACTTGTGAGCACCACTGCCTAACCTATCGTCTTTTAAAGTAACCCACAAAACAGCTTCTACACATCCAATCGAGTACACAGCAGTTAAGGTTTTCCCACGTTTATTTTACAAGCAAGCCCATTTGTGTTAAGCCAGTTACTCAGTAAGACTGCTTCCCTTCCAGCTCAGTGAGGAGACAGAACTTGCATTAGGGCAGTTCTTGAGGAGCGAGACAGAGCACCAGAGTTCCTGAGAATAGCCTTACGAGAAAAACTAGAGTGGAAGTCATTGGGCCATCAAAGGCATAGGACACCAATACCTTGGAACTAAGGACAGATTGCAAAAGGTATTTGGAAAAGCATAAAGAAATTTTGGCCATGGTTCCTTTGAATTATTTATTCACTGCCCTTGGCAGTCTGAGCTGGAAAAGGCAAAGCAGTAGTCATTGTGTGTGGTTAACTGGCAATTTATAAAATTTCAACCACAATTACCCCATTACAATTAGGACGCTTGAATTTTATAGTACTAATTTTTCAGTAACTACCCTAGGCATTTCCTAAATCTAAGTTTCAGATTCAACGTATGTTTGAGTGTATCAAAGTATATGCTTCATACCAGAAAAAATACCAAAAAATATAAATCATGATGCTTTAACATAGGATGGAACTAGGGTCAGAGGCAAGTGAGGGCTCAGGAAACTTAAGGAAGCGCTCACTTCAGTGCCCTGCGAATGCAGTGTTGGCACCTGACAATGACAGTCCTTAAAGGTACTGCTTCAGGTGCCTTGTTTGCCTCCCTTTAGTCCAGATGATGTGGAGTATTTACAAAGTATCATCAAATGAGATTCTGAAAGGAGGATTTATAAAAGACGTCATGAATTAAAGCACTTACCTAATTAAATCAATGTGGAAAGAGGCGTGACAGAAAAATTTTAAAATGAGCTGAAGGAGTAAGTCACAAAAATTAATTAGGGCAAATAATTTTCTTGCTGCCAGAGATACAGGAAAAGCAAAGCAGCTATACCTCAGAACACTGCTAAATCATTCCTGGCTCAAAACAATTTTCTATACTAACTAGGTCATCTCGAATTTCGAGTTGAATTACAAGTAAAGAAACTACTTCTGCTATTCAAATGATCCAGGGCTGGAGTTTCGTTTCTCATTTTCAGAGACATCTTTCTCATTTAAGAATTCTGCTTTTAATCTTCTTATTTCTCACATTATTTCTACAAAGGTGGAGGTTTGCAAGGTTTAAGCAAGAATGAAAAGCGAAACCGAAGCAGAATCAGTGAACGCTGTGCAAGAAAAGGAGGGAAATTCTCCAAGGGCAGGAGGCACAAGGTGCTTGGTAGAAGCATGGATTCTGGGCAAAGCCACAAGAAACAACTTTGAAAGAGTCGTTTGATTTCTCTGCATCTGTTTCCCCATCTGTGAAGCAGATGTCATGGAGGTACCTATCCGAGTGTGGCTGTGATGCTTCCGCAGGTTCTTACATACCCAGCACTTAGACCGTGTCTGATGGTTAGTAACACTCTGCCGAGGAAGGCCCTGTCTGCAGTTCTAGTAGAATTTCTGTAAAGCAACTAACACTGAAGCAGATTTTTAGTTTAATAAATATGCTCTATTTTCCCCACATATGGGGCTCAATAATGTCTGCATTATACTTTTTCAGTCAAATTTGAATTACATGATCAAAGTTTATTTTTATTTGTTCCCAAATCTATTTAGATCTATCATAGTTATTTTTAAAAATTATTAATCAAATAAATATTATAAAGAGAAAAAATTTTAGCTCATAAAACACTAATTTGAATTATTTGGAAAGAGCAAAAGCAAACCTTATACTATTAATGAGATGCAACTTTATCAAAGTATGGGGAAGAAATTGTAAATGCCTGTTTATTTAAATAACTACTTGAATTATCCTGGAGTTGTCACTTTAAAAAGAAACCCAAGCTAGAAAAATTGAAGATGTTTTCTAAATAAGATATCACAGAAAAGTAATATAGAAACACACTCAAAGAAACTTCCTAGGTGCTTCAACTAAATTTGGAAATGCCTGAGCATTTACATAATTTTACTTAGCATATTTAAAGAATGTATTTATCCTTTATGAATTTTTGAACCAAGTTTCAATTAACTGGTATCTCTATTCCTATCCTATAAACTAAGAGGCATTCCACAATAACAATAACCTGGGAAAAAGACAACAGAAAGTTGAGAGATTTAGGGATACCCCAGGAAATAGAACTCTTGGATTTCATTTTGGGAATCCAGTCCATTTCAAGCACAGGAAAGAAGGCAGAATCAGAAGTTCTGGTCGGTTGAAAAGAGAATAGGAGAGGAGAGGCGGGGAGGGGCGGGGAGGGGCTAGATAGGCACAAAAAATGAAAGAAAAAGAAAAGACGAGAAGATAAAGAACAAAGAAAAAAAGAGAAAAGGAAGACAGACAAAACCTAAATACATTGTCTTTTTCTCCAGGACTTAAGTGAATGAACAAGATATACATTGCTAAGGAAAGAGAATCTAAACTTAAATACAACAAAAGTGTAAAATGAAGTGCTTTTATACATTAATAATAATAAAGATAACTACCCCATACTCCTATAGAAAAGCTGAGAAGGTAGGAATATAGTTCACATTACTACTTGATTAATAATATAAAAATAATTTTATTAGTCCTTTACAAACTGTAAATTC